AAAAGAGGTTATACACACACAATACTGTAATACTATATTGAAGCACAGTACGTATCACTCCGAAGCTCCTGCCTACGACAGCCGTAATGCTCCGACAATCCATCAAGCGGTGCGGCTTCGTAGCTTAGCAAAGTCGTACTAAAACATTTGACAGATTTTCGAGCGCCGTGTACATAAAATCGTTTCGAGGTCAGTAAACACAACCAGAATTCATACATAAGGCACACGGGGTTATAAGGGGCACTGTCGATTTTCAGAAAAATCAAAGGATTGATTTTAAGTGTGCCGTATTTTCCAAAAAACATGGTAATAACGACGGCCCGCTAGCATGCTCTACCAAAAATAGTGCTTTGTGTATCTGATGGACGAAAGCCAAACCAGTTCCACATCACTGAAGTTGGAGCATTTTTACAAACCAATTCTGGTTCATCCGTTTCATTCAACGATCCGCTTTCGCCCTTCTCATTCTCCGCCATGCTTTTTCTGCCATGTGCGTATGAAAACAAAGATACTGCGCATGTGCGTTTTACCCATATTCTATCGCGATATTTCATTTTCTTATCGTTGCCCAACATTATACCGGTATTACCGTGAATGGTATGATATGGCAGAGCCATACATGCAAGCTCCACACAAAGGCCTCCGATGGCTTAGGCAGTTCAAATATTCTTTTACAACTGAAACATCTGAAGCTCAAAATTGGTTTTATCCATGTGGATGACAACCCGATGTGCTCCAAATCTCACTGATTACCTTATGCAGCACATGTTTTAGTGTTTGTAGTGCACACAGCATCAGGGCCACACACGCTGTCCCACATTTATTGAGTCCTTCATGTGGCTGAGTAGAATTAAAGCCAAACAAGTGTACACGGTGTGTTAGCTTATTGCTCCTGCAATCCGAGAGAGCACAGTCCAATATGAGTTTGCTACACAAGCACTTATTGTTGGAGCTTTTGTGATCCAACAGCAAAACTGTAATATTTTATACACTGTGCAGAACAGACCAATCCAGCTCTGGTATGCAGCGACCCTGCCCCCCTTTTTTGTTTTTTCATAATCAAAACAAGGAAATAAATGAAGGAGCAGGAAGTGAGCACATGGTTAGGAGAAAGCTCGTTGCCATGCCACTCCAGCATGTAGTTCGCTGGAGTTTTTGTTTATGTTTGTAACTGGAGTGTAATGAAAATTGCATTTAGCCGCTCCTTCTGTCTTGGTTTTATTTAGATTGACCATGTTCGGACGAAGTACCTGTTGGGAAAAGCGTAGCTGCCTCTGAGGTGACTAAAACCCCAAACTGTGAAACGCCCACATCGGTTAACTGTTTTGTCTCTGATTGCTTTGATTTTATTTTTTTTTTTTTTTTTTTTTTTAAACGCTGCTTGGAGGAGTGAGCAAAGTTGAATCACCGCTCGCACACATGCTCACACACAGCCTGAGTGCGCTGAATGAGCTCATCGTGTGGGTCTTTTCCTGCAGCAGCACTCAAGTGAATGACTGTGTACTTCTGCACTCACAGGTTGAGCCATGCACCTCAAAAGCATGGTGGTGGTTAGAAGAACTGATCTTAGTCATTTGCCCCAGGATAATCTGATTTAATTTACAGGCGAGAGAGAGAGAGAGAGAGAGAGAGCTTGGGCAGCCTCGTATTTATTGTATTAGCTGTAACAAAGCACTATGAAGTAGCATCTAACCTATGTGCTTGACTTTTTAGCCAAGCTAGCAGCTCGCCTGCACTCCAGTGCTTTCTTCACATGTAAATGTCTCATCAGTTGAATGGATTCTGATGAAGTTTTGTACAGTCACAACTCTGGCTCTAACACAACCACAGTGATATGTTGGATGATGCCTGGTTCTACTGGAGGTTTCTTCCTATTAAAAGGGAGTTTTTCCTTCTCATTGTCACCAAGCGCTTGCTCAAAGAGCATCATGTGATTGCTGGGATTTTCTCTGTATTATTGTACAATGTCTACCTTAAAATGGAAATGAATTTCCATCCACTAGCACGATCAGACAATACAATCTGTGTTGGGTTAAGCCCCTCTGCACTTTGTGTTTAGTACATGGACTTAACAACTACGTGACCCACTGATTTATCATCAACATGTGGCAACTCCAGTATCAAGGTTGTGAAGTGATTAAAAAAAAAAAAATCACTTCACTAGAATTGTTATGAAGAGAGTGGCGATTATAACATGAGTCTATGGCAGGGGAGGGAAACTCCAGGCCTCGAGGGCATCCTTGAGCCAACACAGCTGATTTAAATGGCTAAATGACCTCCTCAAAATGTCCTGAAGTTCTCCAGAGGCCTGCTAATGAACTAATCATTATGGGGTGCAACAATACTGGTATCGAACAATAAAATTTTTTTTTAATTTATTTTATCAACTTTTCTTCTGACGATGCTGTCTGTGTTGAGAGCTAAGTGGATCTGCGTTCGACTACTCCGCCTAGGCTGCACTGTCGAGCGCAGATCCACTGAGCGCAGCGCAGTTGCAACATGGCAACTGCCTCAACAACCTCCCCCACCCTCATTCAGATCTGGCCTTTGGAACTATTTTGGTTTTCATGTGAAGTATGACCCTGATGGTAAACGCGTCATGGACAAATTTAAAACAGTATGTCTGATGTGCCACGCAATGCTCAATTACATGGGTGGCAACTAGTGCGTTAGCGCAGTTAGCTCGTTAACGTGCTGACGCCGTCCAGCCCCACGCACAGGGCGATCCGCGGTAACTCGTTAACGGAGATTTGCTGCGTTATGGCCACGTTAATGTCATTTTAACGAGATTAACGCTGACAGCACTAGTGGGAATATGACTGCACATTTACACTGACATCATCATTGGAACGAGCCATTTCTCTGTAATAAACTCTTTTCCAAAGATGAGTGATTTCTCGATCAAATTTGTTTTTTTTATTACTTTATTTCAGCAACATTCAATTTAAAAACTGTACTTTTGAGTTAAAATATATATTTATAATTTCAATAAATTAAAATGGCATGAACATTTTTTTTGTATCGAAAAAATATTGAACCCTGACACCAAAGTATGAACCAACCCTGAATTTTGTGTATTGTTGCACCCTTACTAATCATGTGATTCAGGTGTGTTGACCCAGGGTGAGATCTAAAACCTGCAGGACACCAGCCTTCAAGGCCTGGAGTTGCCCACCCCTGGTCTATGGGGATCACTAAACTCACTTATGGGGCCGGCCACATGTGGCTGTTAGAGGAACTGCAGTTTCAAGCCTGGAGGACGTGGCTTGATTTAGTATTAAGTCAGAACAGTTGGCATACACAGACTTTAAAGGAAGCAGTTTATGCACAGTAGACTTCTGAGTAGTTGGATTTTCTTATTCCTCAAGTATTGTTTTAATATTTTTAATTACATTTTGCATGAAAGTCTATCTACAATGGCAAGACTAATGGAACTTTAATTTGAATAGTCTGTGGGACTTGTGCAGAATCACAAGTCTAACAGTATATCAAGTATGAATGGTATGCTTTCTGAAAACTCAATAAAAACACTTTGATTATTATTAACAGTATATCAAAATGCTGTCTTTTTTTTTACTGCCACGCCTCTCTGCTGTAATGTAAATATCCTGCCATGCTGTGTCTTCAGCAGCTGACTTGCACTGTTTGATATTACAGAACCAAACCTTAACTGTAGCACCACAGCTGACATACTGCTCTGCATGATGTAGGCTTAAATGTAACCTCAAGCGATGATTTGGCTGTATGTTGTGACCCCAGCTGTGTTTGAGATGCATAGCGGACTCCCATGATGCCCTGCTACAAATGTTTCCTATGGCATGTCAGCTCTGTTGGATTAAGAGCAAGTCACATTACATTAACGGGGAGAAAAGTAAAATAGGAGAGGCTGTTACATTCTTGTGAACCTGAAAAAAGGGGGTGTATCTTCCTTGTTTAGTCTTATTTTCTTCTTCTCTGGTTTCTCGTGTGTAGCTTAGCCCTTTGACAGTGTCTTATTTCATCACGTTTGCCCTCTGCTCAACAAGTCTCTCTCAGGCTTCACTGTTCTTGTGGTTCTGGGGTTTGAAGTCTGATCACATTCATGCATGACCAGCACTGATGCCACCGCTGTGCATTTGTATGCAGGCTGGCGAGAAGAGAGCTGCCTCGGTCCTAATGGTCTCACAGTCTACTGAGCGTGCACTCTCAATCAGGGCTGCATGACTTGTGAAACGAGCTTGTGGCTTGCAGAGACTGTTGAATCTTGAAACTGAGAGTCGTGAGGTTATTCTCTTCTTATTTAGACCTAAGAACCAACCAGATGCACAAAACGTGTGCTAAACGTTTCAGTCGCTTCGATTTCTTATTAATGTGGCGGGTTTAGGTGTTTCCACATCTCAATAAAAGGACTCAAACATGAGTGGGGTGAGTGAGTTGTGCTGTAGTCCTCTTACAGGAGGAAGCGTGGAGTCTTGTAGAAAACCTGAAGTGAATCAGAGGAAGTGTTACACAATAGGAAGTGGTGTGCTTTTTTTCATGTAATTCTGTTTGTTCCATGCTTCTTTTTTTCTCCTTTCTAAAAATTCACTTACTCTGGCCCATATTTCTCAAGGTAGTCGCATTAGGATAGAACAGGCCAGTTATTGCCTATTGTTTGTGTTTGCATTTTCTCTCATAGTGCTGTGTTTCCTTTTTTGTGTGCTACAGCTCATTTTAAAAGGGAACCCAAAGACAGGCAGTCATTTCTAAAGGGTGTAACCAGTATGTGTGAAGTGTGCAACAGTAGTGTTGTCCAATTTTGGTAAAGTCAAAATGCACAAAATAGTTGCTTAGCTGTGGAGTTTTTTTTTGTTGTTTTTGTTTTGTTTTTTTTGGTGCATTTCAAATAATTTAGTTGAACTTTGTCTGCAGGAGGAGCAGTGATGCCACGTCTTATCTCTAGTTGCGGATGTTTTTTAGGATTTTTTTCAAGCTCTAGATTGTAAAGTTTTATGTTTTGTTGCTGTTGATCTTTGTTTCAGAGGCTGACCTCTGCTGGAGGACTGTGACCCCGGGGCCACCTGCCAGGCCGGGCCTCCCTGCTCCTGCCAGACACACAGCTCCACTGCTGGTAAGTCCTAAAAGATGCTTTTCTGTTGATGTGCTAATCAAATAGGGAAAAAACTGGAACGGTTCATAATAATTTAAACTTTCAATGACAAATCTTTGTGCCGTGTTGTGGCAACATGTAAACACAAAGCAGGAAATTCACTCTGCAAAGCAAATGCATGTCCGGACAGTGCTCACTAAGTCAGACTGCTCAATGATTATATTAGCTTTGAACCTTATACTGCACGCTAGTCTGTGGTTATTTCCATTGGAACAGTATAAAATTCCCACTCAAAGTCCGCAAGTTGCACACGTGCATCATTTTCATCAATGCAAAAATTGAAGCTATTTTTATCCTCAGCATCTTTCTTTTCCCACCCCTGATTACCATCTGCTTATCTGCTGTTATTTTGTTTGCATGTCTATTTATACCTGCACATATTCACAACTGATATGTTTCCTTATTTGCATTCACTGCAGGTGCTTAAAGGCTTTTGAGATCATCATAAATACTGCCGTCATTCATTTGTGTAACTATATTTTTCCAGTTGTTTAGGTCATTGGCACATACTGAAGCGCGTTGAATTGAATGGAAGCATTTCCCTAAATAGAGGCTGAGTCAGTTCATTTTGCTTTCTTTCCACTGCTAGTGTTTTTTTTTTTTTCCATGCTAATGTGGGATCAGTATAGGTGGGAGAAAATTCAGTTAGCTGCTGTTTCTATTACAAAGTTTGGCTTCAATCACAAACAGAAGTGGCATACTTTGCATTCTCAGGCCAGATCTCAGGGAAAATTGGTTATAAAGCACATTTTTAAGGGAAAATTGAGGCCAGGTCACTAGGTGCTTGAGTTTCTGTGTCTTTTCACCTCAGACTATCCCAATTTAACAAATCTCTGAGCATAAAAGTGCATTCACTCGTAAAAATAATTAGAAAATCTTCACCATTTATCTTCTTGTTGCTGGTGGAAGAGCTACTGCTGTAATGGCCCGCGTTCATAAAATTTCAGCCTACTTTTCTGACAACCATCACCTCATCTCATTGACGTTTAAGCATTAGTAGCTCTCTGTGCACAAATACAGACATGTCATTATGTAAGACCGCCTGTGGTGCACCTATGCCTGTTATAGTCCTAATGTGCAGTGCTGTGGGTGTATGTGTAATGCTGGCACAGGAAATGAAATGCATTGTGGGCCATAAAAAGGAGTTGAGTAATGTAGGTGCTCCCGGCTTCCTGTCCCCCCCATCAAGGCCAGAGTGTTTATATAACCACAGGGCACGGGGTCACGGCTCCCGTGATGAGCTGGCAGCTCTGGTGGTGGACGGTGTTTAGTAGTTGGTCAATTGTGGACTCAAACTCACTCCTGGTGATTTTAGACGAATATTTTAGTGCTGTGTCGTTCATCTCTCCCTGCTCGTATGCGTGCCCATCCCTGTTGTATTTTCCTCTGTGTCTCCTTGGAGATTGTTACCATGCCACACAGCTATCATTTGATTGGCTCAGCTGTGGAGCTGCTAGGCTGCTTTGACAGCTAAGCCTCAGGTGGTTCATATATAGGATTGCTAAGTCAGTGTGTGTCCCCATGTGAGGCTTGTAGTGTGTATGCGTGTGTATAGGCTAATGCTTCTGCAGTGCCTTATTGAGACTCAAATCTATTCACTTAAATCGGCCTGAACGGTTGCTGTTTTGGTTGCTGTGCAGTATACGACCCTGCAGCGGTGCAGGGGAACAAACATGTGATGGACTATACGTGAAGAAAGGGAATGAGTTAATGCAGCAGCCTGAGGTCTGTGTGGAAGGGCGGATTAACCCTGCTTAAACCAGGGGGAAGGTGGCAGCCATAGATGAAGCTGTTCTTGGCTCTTATAATTGGATCAATACTGCCCCCAGCTGGTGAAGCCTTGAAGTGTTATTGTTATGGACATGAATGCAAAATATGTGTAATTGTCTTCTATATATAGCTCTAAACTTGCACTAAATTACAGATAGAAGCTGTTTTTAGACTAGTTTAAGTGATTCAGCTGGTAAGCTGTTATTATTATTTATTTATTTATTTATTTATTTATTTATTACATACTGAATGAATATCAGTTTCTCCACTCCTGACTCAGCATATGGAAGCTGTTCTGGCCTCCTGCTCTCAGCCAACCCCACCCTCTGACTAGGTCATTTGAGATGATGCGTCTGAAAGGGTGTAATATGTAGAGTGGCTCGTTATGTCAGTTAAAAGCCCCCAGCTTCTCCTAGGTTATCTATTATTTATGCCGCTGGAGGCTTGACGCCGTGTAACTTCCTGCCCAGGTTTTCCGTCAGGAAGCTCGCAGACTGCGGCCATATGCGCCAGAAAAACCGAACATGTGGAAAGCTAGTTTTAAACTTGGAACTGACATATATTATTTCTATTTCTTGTCAATGGAAATAGTGTCATTTTTCCCCAAGAGATATGGGAGCGTTTAGCCTTAAATAGTTGTTAACACCGGATGGCGCTGTTGGATCTGGCATCAGACCTTCTCTCCAACTTAGTAAAATGAAATTTGCAAGCCTTGCAGAAGTATTCTGCAGGGTTTCCATCAAGAGACAGTTTACAGTAAAATCAGTTTATTGTAAATATTCCCACTTCCTGTTTGCATTTGTAAAAGTAAACAAAAAGATGCATAAATGTGCCGGTACAAGCTTTGGGAGTGGCTCTCATCCTTCCTGCCTTCTCTGCACAGCTGCTTTCCTCCTCCAGATGGCACTCGCCTCCTACTCAATATAAATGTCAGTTCTCTACAATCTGACACTCATCATCACTCCCAAACCTCCTCTGTGCCCCACCCAAAATCCTGTTGGGGTAATATTCTGCAGGAGGAAAAAACATGCAAGGATTATGTTTGATTCTAAAATTGAAATTAGGCTTAAATTGGAAATTCATCTCTTCCCGAATGCTTTTGTAAGTAAGATTAAAAGATGCTGCTGATGTTGGTGAGTCAGTCAAAGGTCAGGCAAGTAATGATGGTTTAGGGTGGGGTGGGGGCGTTGTTTCTGCAGAGGAATGAGGGAGAATGTATGTGAATGGATTTAGGAGGCAGATGCCCCGAGGGAGGTGGCACTTAGAACAGGACAGCGAGTCAATGCTAACCCCACTCCCTGTTAATGATCTCCTCACACATACCAGGAAGAAGTCAGAGGACTCTCAAGGGCAGAGTGGGAGGGTGTGAAGGGCCTGGCTCTGAGGTGGATGGAGCAGAAAATGAAAAAGTAAATTTATATGAAAGATGATGCAAATGTCACTGAGCCTCCTGATTTGAATATTTTTAAAATAAGGAGGATTGATCTGAAATTAACATCATCCAGCCTGTGAGCCCTGCTCTCTCTCTCTCTTCCCTGTCTGTTGGTGTGACTGAAGAGCGGCACTAAGAGCCTCTCCACAGAGCTCAATGAAGCCCGCGTTTTAGCTGACTCTGGTGCATCTGCCTGTTGCCATGGTTTCCATCTTTCATCAGGTGCCGTCCAGGAAGCAGCGCTTAGCAGAGGATGAGGCGCTCCCGCTTTCATCCTTCCTCTCTGATCTGCTTCTCTGGACAGAACGGCAGTTTTCATAACTGAGTTCGTTACAGCTGTTGGCGACAGGGGATGTTTTTAGCTGGAGAAAGACGAGACGGCCGATACCGGATGTCACCTCAAGTGACGCCGTCTGTCTTCCTGTAGGTTTGTTTTGATTTGCCCCGAATCTGGGTGAGTGGGGTATTAGCCGATGTTTACGCGGGTGCAACAATACAGAGGCGTGGCTACGAGTTCAGAGAGTTCACCCACATAAACAAACAAATCGTAGCCTGCCCCCGCTGCTCCTCCCTTTTTCTCGTCACCTTGCACCCCCCCAAGCAATTTTTAGTCAGCTGGGTGAGATCGGTAGGAGATAGTTGGGGTGGGTGGGGGGTGAGGAGGAGATGAGGGGGGGGTTAGGGGGAAATGGGGACGCATGCCAGTCCCATTTGGGAAGTGCTCCCCCATTTTCTGCCTGTCGAGTCAGGCCAGTGTCAGCGAGCTCCGGCGGGTCCAGGTCTGGCCGAGTGGGCTAATGCGATGTGGCGTGTCACCCGGGGAATCTAGGTCAAGTTTAAAGCTGCCTAGTTCTGCCCGCCTCTGCCGCAGTGTGACGCTTCAAATCCCTCCCCTTCCACGCACGCAATAATATTCAGCACGCGTCCATACCTGCACTTTTATTTTGCATTTGTTTTATATTTTAATCATTTCACCCTGATCAAAATGAGCTCTGCATTTCCTGTTACAGGCTGTGTTTATTGCAAACATAAACACACTCATCTCTCACACACATGCCTTGCCCCATCCCACCCCCACTCCTACCCCTATCCACACACACAAACACAGACAGACACCCCAGGCAAGCTCTCAGCCCGTCCACGGCAGAGCCCACGTGACGCTCCGCACGGAGGCTGGGGAAGGGAGGGCGTTGTTTTTCCCTCCATAGTAAAGCAGCGGGGCACGTGGATTCTCATGCTGCAGCCGAGTAGTGGAATGTCAGCACTATCCCTCCCTCGCATCAGCCAGCTTTCCAGTTGCCCCGAGCCGTTTCTGCAAGGATGGCCGCGGCAGTGCTCGGTTTCAGCCCTGTCCCGCTTTTTATTAAATGGAGAGGCACAGAGCTGGGAGATGTTTTTAAAAAAAGGCAGTGCCATTCTGAGGTCAGGCTGCTGCATGGGCGTGGCACTGTTTTGGTCTCTTCACCGAATGGGCTTGAACCTCCCTCCACCGTCTGTAATCTGCACATATTTGTTTTGGATTGTAGCTTCAGTCGGATGACATTTTCCTGGAATAATGGCAGGGTGTCAGTGTGAAAGTCCGCCTTTATCGTGTTTTTATTGCAACGATCTGCACGTGTTCAGCAGTAAAACTAGATTTTCATCTTTAATAAAAATTAGAGAATTTGCTGAGCTACACAGAAAAATGAAATCACATCCAATCCAGTCACTAACAGATGGGTTCAGACACTTCTCCATCATCTGTAGTTGATTTTACTATCCTGCTAATCCGCTGTTTTTGGCGCATTACCTCATCTGTATTAATATATTCGTGCGCTTTCAAGTCTTACTACTACTGTACTCGCTCTTCACCGGGAGCTCGAACCTGATTGGCTGCTGCATTCTTTTCAATGGCACCAAATTTTTTTCGACTCCATGGATACAGCGAGCTGTTGGTTAGGCCGGCTCAGCCAATGGGAGAGCTGCGCGGGCTCCAGCTTGTCAGATTCTGCCCCCTGGCCTTGGAGGCAGCCCTCCCCTCCCTTCCCACCCTCATTGAGAGCACGCGATGTCTCAGCGGGGGGGTTCAAAACAACACCAAGATTGTCGTCGGCTTCTCTGTGGTGCCCAGGACATGCCAGGACTGCTGGGTACTGCTCAAACTCTCTTTAATATAGTGTCTGCACTTTCTTCACTACGCTATCACTAAGCAACCAGTTACACTTAGTTACACAAATTGTTGGAAATACATCTTTAAAGAAAAAGTCCAAATAAACAGCAAAGTCAGTTATCTGTAAGTGGTTCTTTTGATGAATTTTGGTGGAAGAAATTTGCATAATGGACAGATTTAATTTGCTCTTTTTTTCTTTTCTCTGGACTTTAAGATTCTCTAGTGGACTTTGAAACGCAGCCACGCAAATCCCCGTCCTTTAAATGACCTCATTTTAAACGGCACAGGGGAGCAGCGCCGGGCCTGCAAGGCTGCCAGTGCCCTCGTTGAAGCGCTGCAAGCCCAGGCTGCTCTGCCCAGTCAGCGAGCAGCTGAAAGGTGGCAGTAGAAGATAATGATGATGGAGATGGTGTTGGGGTAGTGCCCACATCATCCAGCAGGGTGAAGTCGGTGACAGCTCTCATCGCTTTCCGAGGCTGCATCAGGTGCCGCTTTCCGACAGCCAGTGAGGTGCTGGCGTTGGCACGGTCAGACATTCAGGTCACATTAGAGGAGGGTAGTTTGATGAGACCGGACAAGGCAGGTGGGGCTTTGCAGGTGGTCTGTGGATTTGGCTGGTGACACAGTTTGTAGAGGCGCTTTTGAAGTAAATAAAAGTTAAAAAAATATCACTGTTCATCCACTGATTTCATGCTGATGCACAGGAAATCAGAGAGAAGCTCATTTTAAATGCACACCAAATATTTATTAGAATATATTCAAGTTAAATTTAGGATTCCTACTACCAAATATTTATTTTTTGATATAATCTATTACTTGTAACAAAACAACAAAATAAAAACAAAACAGGGCAAATGACGACTTGGACAAATTCAGCTTCAACTCGTCATTCAGTCATTTAAAAACTGTCTGCTCATCGCACTTCGAAAACAAACAAAAAAAAAAAAGGGACATGACCCAGTGCTCGGTTTTCAACATTCAAGAATCCTCCCTACACGCTGCATCTCATGCATTTTAAAAGCGCCCCGTCTCAACCTCTGCTCCTGACTGCTGAGTGCGTACTTTGCTCTGTCGCAGCACCTCCCTGTCTTCCAGAATCACCTGCGCTGGCGTGATTTGCCCCCGTCTCTGCAGACCCTCGCTCGAACGTTTTGGCTCTTCACCTGCCACTCATCTCGGGTGACATCTGCCTGCCAAAATTGAATTGCGTCACTGTTCTGCCCCGACCCCTCTCTCGCAAAGCCCGTCCATCTCCACCCCGTCACCGAGGGCTAAGGCTGCCACCGTTTCTCTCTCTACAAACTGTAGCAGATCTCTGACTTATCAAATGTCTGTCAGCCTCTGTAGCTCTGCGCTTTCGAGGAGTCGGAGGATTGACAGCAGAGAGCGGCGCAAGGGTGTCGCTTTTCATTGCACAACTCGCAGCTGACTTGTGAGAATGTGTGTGTGTGTACATATACAGTATATATACTGTATGTGTGGGTCTTCGTCGCCTCCTCATACCTGCAAAGCACTTGAAGATCATCATAGCCACAAAAACTGGGTCGTTTTCACAGGCCCTACATAAATAACCATAAATCATACTGGGTGGTAACAAATTCCAGTTAACAGTGAGTGAGGGCACACTGGTAAATTTGTGTGACTTTGATTGGCCTACCTGCAGTAAAGTTAGGAGTTTGTTTCCAGAAACACACTTGACAGAAATCTTTTCATTGTTCTGCTCTCCTTTTTTTTTTTTTTTTTTGCCCATTATAGGCAAACAAAACTTAAACATATAATTGTATTGCAGTGCTCTGGTTTTCCTACGGGTGTGGCAAAAACATCTTCCTCCAAGGATCAGAAACCCTGGTGCTGTAGTTGTATAAAAGTATGACTCACTTCTGGTAGCAAGTCTCTAAACAAATCTCAGCTCCTGTCTTCAAATGCGTCTGGTCACCTATTTTGGGCATATTCATTTTTTGAGCAGAATTAACATTTTCCTTTGAAACTTTAAGTTAATAGAATAACCAGTAAAATCTGGTTAGCTAGCTTAAAAAGTTTGTCTCTAAATGAGATTTATCTCCTGGAAGTTAACCACCATCCTTGCTGGTGCAGAAATCTCCAGCTGATCTCAATTCTGGATAATTGGACTGCGGTGTCTTTATGTCCCTGCAAATACAGATTCTGTGCTCAGGCTTTGCTTTGGTTTTGGTGCTGCTCTATCTGTACTCCATTTAACATCTGTTTACCCAGTTAATCTTAATAGTTTAAGGCACTTAAAACAAAAAGCTCAACACTGACCACGCTGACCATTGATCAGTTTTAATGATATCAATGATGTTATTATTTCTGCTTACAGGCCAAATTCTTTGACTCTCACTGATCAGCTTTCTGTACAGCAAGAAATTGGCACACCTAGGTTTTAACTCATTCACTGCCATTGACGTCTATAGCCGTCAATTGCAGTGAATGAGTCAATGGGTTTAACTCATTCACTGCCAATGGCTGGCAGTGAATGAGTTAAGCAGGAACTCGTTTGTTTTATTATCAGAGTACATTTAAAAAAAAAGAAAAGAAGCTTGCACGTGGCTCAGGTGTGCAGAAGCTCCACTGAAATGAATTTGAGCTCATTGTTGTGTAATGTGACTGTCAGAAACACTGCTAAGCAGCATTGATCACAGGAAGAGACAAACTTGGAGGGATGCTGTTTGGATTTGGTTCCCATTCTTAGCTGGACCATGATTGTGATCCTGTCTGGTTCACTTTCTGTTCTGTAGAGGTTTTTGAAGCTTTTTGCTTTAGTAGACAGTTTAGTAGAGAGTGGGTCAGGAAAGCAGAGAGAGCAACTGAGGTGAAAATGCACAAGCTTCTGGTTGGTCTGCTGCATTTCAGCCTTGGGGCGTATGGTCGCCTGCTCACCTTGTGAGCTAAACTGGTGCCTGTCCTGTACAGTTTATTAGTCTTAGAAACCATGAAGAAGATGTACAAATGACCTGTTGTGCTTTGTTTGATGGAAGGATGGATTATATGGATCATATTAAACAGCTGCTGTTCAAACCTTAATGGGGAGCAGCGAATCAGAAGAAACTTAAAGGGAGGAAAGCTAAACCAGCTCGTTTCAGACTGACCCAAGGATTATTTTGAACCACGAATCATGCAAAGCTACTCCAGTGGAGTCCAAACGTGAAGCTAGAAATGAGCTTAAGAGGTCCACTTTGATACCCTATGCCAGGGGTGTCCTGCAGGTTTTAGATCTCACCCTGGGTCAACATACCTGAATCAAATAAGTAGTTCATTACCAGGCCTCTGGAGAACTTCAAGACATGTTGAGGAGGTAATTTAGCCATTTAAATCAGCTGTGTCGGATCAAGGACACATCTAACCTGACCTGCAGTACACTGGCCCTTGAGGCCTGGAGCTGGACACCCCTGCCTTATGCTCTAAAAAGGTGCAATGGTCACTGGTTAATAAATATTAAAAAAATATATGCTTTAGGTTTCTGTATCATGCTGCTGTCTTAGGCTGGGATTATAGCTACACTCTCTACAGACACCACAGACAAGTACTCGATCCTATTGTAGTTTTCTCGAGGCTGTGGTTGGTGCCTTGTAGCATAGCATCTTGTGGACAAATCCAGGTGGTCCAAACCTGGTAGACACGGAGCCTCGCAGTCATCGTCTGATGAGGAAATTCACTCAACTTGCAAATTTATGGATTGCAAAACTGTAACTCTGGCCTTATATTTACTGCTGTAGCACAGTGCAAGTGTTTTGTTTACTGTACCACATTCATCGTACATGTTTGCATTGCCAAGGCATATTTAATATTAATGTGATGTTTGGGCAGCTGCATTATCTGATTGTGCAGAGACTATTAAGTGAATTTCTTAGTACTGCTCTAAGTCTGATTCACTTACAGTAAACAGAGAAGGCCTTTATGAATGTTTGATTGGATGCACTGTGCAGCAAACAGTTACATACTTCATGCATAACATAAATTATGAGCGATATCCCTGCGGACGATGGTAAAATGGATTAGTTTGCATGCGGCTGCCCGTAAAGGTTTGCCAATGCTGGGAAGAAGTTTAGCAAAGCAGAAGTCAAACTGTTTTTTATTTTTGGGGCCTTTTTTTGGTTTGACATCTGGTTGGTGAGAGCCTGGGTGCAGGAAACACACACTGGGGAGTGTCCGAGGGGAGTGCTGGTGTATGTGAACGGTGGGCACATCTGGGGTATCACTGAGTTCATACAGGCACCAGAGCAGTGAAGCAGAGCGGGAGTGAGGTGCATGGATACAACAATGCATCACCACCTGCTCACTTCACTGCTGCACTCTTCTTCTTCTTCTCTTTTTATTGATTTCTCTCTTCTTCTTTTTTTCTCTCTCAACAGGTATCATAACATGGGGAACCTACTGAAAGTTTTGACATGCACAGATCTGGAACAGGAGCCCAATTTTTTCCTCGATTTTGAAAGTGAGTTTTCTTTTTAAGTAATTTCTCCACATCTCTCCCAATATGGATCACGTGGATATTTTACCATAACATTACCAGCTCCAAAACTCCAGAACTTAAATCTTTTCACCACCACTTATCTTTTACACTGTTCCTCCCAGCAGCAAAAGGAATCAAATCTACCACTAGGGCTGCTGCTCTTTTCCATCAACCTGCCTTTTCCATGCTGGAATGTGTGCAGAATATCAATCAGGGCAGAGGTGCAGCAGTGCCCCCTCCCCAAATATAAAGCACTGAAGTCGGGCTGTGGTGTAGCCTAAGGGCCCTCAGCGTGGCTTGAACCTGTGCAGTGCTATTCTCACACTTGGCAAACCCAGAGAGTCAGTCATACCTTCAGAGGAAACGGCTTCTCATAGAGCTCAGAGTGTTTGGAGGTGGTTTTTATACTGAAAGAATACCACCGTTTTATATACAACTAATGCTTTACAATACTGAGCAATGCTGTATGAAGTTTTTCTTTAATAATGCTGTTAGAGGCTGAAATTTTATTTCTGAAGAGCAAATAGAAATAACTACTTTAAAATAAAATGAATAAAAACTATTTTTTAACTAGTTTCATGTTTAAAAATAAAATGTATCCTTATGAACAGTTCTCCAGATCCATGGCTTGGTTCATATTCACTGGCCTCTTCACTATTTACACCTCTTTAGCTGCATATTAACACAAATGTCTAATGAGCCAATCACATGACAGCAGCTCAGGGCTCTTGGACAAGTAGTCAAGACAACCTAAAGTTCAAACCGAGGATCAGAACAGCATCTCTGAACGCACCCTGAAGCAGCAAGCTACAACATCTGGGTTTAAAATGAAGTTAGAGATCACACAGGCTGGAAAAATGTTTCCTGGACTGATAAGTTTTAAAAAAAAAATTGTCATTAGATGTTGATGGTAGGGTCAGAATTTGACATGAACAACATGAAATCATGGATCCAGCCTGCCTTGTATCAACAGTTCAGTCTGGGCCGGTGGTGTAATGGTGAGGGGATATGTTGTCGGCACACTTTGGACCCCTTAGTACCATCATTTAAACACGACAGCCTCCCTGAGTGTTGTTGCTGACCATGTCCATTATGACCCCATTGTCTCTCATTATCTTTTGTGCAATGTCTGCTTCTATCAGGAAAACGAACCATCTCCCAAAGATCAAATCATCTCAAACTGGTTTCTTGAACATGACAGAGTTATGTCCTCAAATGTGCAGCTTACAAATCTGCCGGAACCATTGACGTGATGTTGTCACATCAATATGGAGCAAATGCTCGGAGGAATGTTTCCAGCATCTTGTTGAATCGGTGCTGTGAAGAATTAAAGCAGGTTTGAAGATAAAACGGGTGTAGCTCCTTCTCTAAATGATAAAAGAACATGGCACTGGCCTGTAAGTCTGCCTACTTCTGACACCTTTAACTCAGTCGGACTGCACCCACCTACGAACTCTACCATGACTTTGATGTCAGCTACACACCTGTGAAGTCTTGTGGCTGGATCTTGTGTGGTTGCAGCACTTTTGTGTTGGTGGGGAAAAAATAAAACAAAACTGTCTGCCGGCAGACAAACACCTGCCAGCACCTGCTTAAAACTGCTTTTTGTGGTAGTTCCCACTGCAGGCTGTGTCTCCAGGACTGCATTTTCCCACACTAATACAGACACACACTCCATGCCATGCTGTTACATTTGGTAATAATGTTAGCCAAAATAAAAACCCTGAAACTGTATGGCTGGAGCTTTTACAAATTTTGAGATGACTCATTCTGTTCGTCTTCTCTTATCTTCCTCTGTTTCCCTGCTCTCGGCCGGGAAAAGTGGGTGGTGTTAAAACTTAATGGGAAGCAGTGGGAAGAGACGATTATTTGACTGAACTTTCATTTGCATAATTGAAAGTTGCTCATTAAACTTTCTGTGATATTGAGGGTGTGGTAGATGTCCTAGAGCTGTATTTTACTTTATGTTGAGTCAGTGTGAATATGGATGAGATCCCAATCAGATTTGCCCAGCTGACTTTGTTGTTGGTCCTTTTTTTTTTTTTTTTTTTTTTTTTGGTGCGTGTCCTCTGCAGATGCCCAGCCCACAGAAGCAGAGCGAGAGATTTGGGAAGAGGTGGATGTGGTGCTGAAGGACGCGAAGGCGATCCTGGACGAGTTGCAGGCCTACAAGGGAGCGGGGCCGGACATCCGAGAGGTACGTTCATCCACCCCTTCATCGCAGGACACACTCATGCAGAATTACAAGGAGACGTGCATTTATGAGGTGGTGGAGGTGTCGCTTGTCCTTTATCAGGTGTTGCTTTAGGAATTTGTATCATTTTTTTCTAACACAAATGAGCAGAATAAAGCAGATGATCAATTTTGGATTCAAAGATCAAAGGAATGACCTTCATGGGCCATTAAATCAGTTCTGTCTTTTAGCCTCAGTCTGTTTTTAAAGACTCGACCTACAAATGAACCGTTAAAATGTATTTAATTTCAGCTTCTCGTATCTCATTTTGGTGTTCAGCATCTGTAACTGCTGATTTCATCCAAGCCAGAGCCCTGATCAGTTTAATTGTCTCCTTACTGATGAAGACTTTACCTCTGGCCTGCTGTACCACACCAAAGTGGTCTGTCAAGGACCTGTTTTGTTTCTATGTAATGACAGAAAATGGAAAATATGAAAAACACAGACTCGTTGAGATTGCTCTTATTTTTCTTAAGAGGCATCAAGTAATTTGTAAATATGTGACTCATTTTCTTTTAACATTTCGTTACGGTAAAAGAAAGAGGGTCCCCCCCCCCCTTCTTTTCTTTTTTACATTATAATCCAGTGGTTTTTCTGCTCCAGCCCAGAGATAAAACTGGGCTGTATGTGCCCCATGAGCATAAATGAGTTTGACACCCGTGATGTATTTCTTTCCAGGCGATCCAGAATCCAAACGATGAGGCGTTGCAGGAGAAGGCGTGGGCGGCCGTGGTCCCCTTGGTGGGAAAGCTGAAGAAGTTCTACGAGTTCTCGCAGAGATTAGGTATGCGTCTGTCTGCGCCGTCTCTACAGTAACCGTGTTATGTAGGCCAGGAAAAATTACATCACTGCTTCTGAGATCTTCATCACTGAGCCTCAGACACGCACCGTTTCAAGTGGAGCGAACTCAGGTGTCCTCTGAGATTTCTTTCAGAGCTAAAACGATCTTGTGTGCGACACCGCGCTTGGAATTGTAGATTAGTGTGAGCTGCTGAAACGTCTGTGCAGTTTTGTTGTCTTAATGACTAACGGGGAGAGCCGGTGTCCTTCATGTGCAAGGCATTTTATAGCGACCTCATACCGATGTAAGCGCGACATTAATTGTCCGCTTCTGCATCGGCAGGATTTGCTGCTGAGCTGCACAAGACGTGCGACACATACTTATACACGCGTGCTTTGAACCCCGCCTACATGCTACCGTCTCAACATGCTGCTTGCGTTGCACTGTGCATCGACCTCTGTAGGGTCTTATTAGCATGGATTCAAGGTGGGGGTGTAAGCTCACTGCTCCCTGATCTTCTTATGACCCTGAGGCTTGAGGGGAGGGGACCCGGCATGCGTCAGTGCCCTCAACCCCTTTGACCCCATAATCCCAGTGGCGGTGGAGAAGGCAGTCAGTGGGCGACAGTGGCGGCGGCAGCCTGGTGATGGCTGTTATGTAACAAAGTAGGTCAAATCTCAGTCTCGAGCGCTGCTCTATTTCCCTGCCTGGATTTTAGGCTTCAGGCGCCAGGATGGTGATATCCAAACAGGACTCCCTGAAAGAGGAGAACCTATGCATTTGGAATGAGCGGACACGTTTTACTGCACTGAAATCCAGACGTATACATGGGAAATCCTAAAATTTGTCACAAGAATAGATAATAACATTAAAAAAAAATCACAAATTTTGTATATCGGGGACAGTAATCTCCTGCTACACCAACACTAAAGTTGGCTTCAGTATAAAAATGTACATTTCTTAGAACAAACCTTTAGACTCAAAGCTCATATCTTTATACAGATTTTGACCAGAAGTCAAAAATTTAAGAGTGGCAAAAGTTGGACTGTGCATAGTTGGATTAATTTTTATTATAATGCTGAAACTTAACAGGTAATTAGCTTACCTAAGCTCCAAGGTGACATCTTAATATTACCATAGAAAGAAAACCATGTCATAGACCACAGATTATGCATTATTAAAGACTGAAAAAAACTTCCTATGTTTATGGACATGCTTTTTTATGGATCCAGTAATTGTGAAAAGTAGCACTCCATTTATTTTGAGTGTGTTTTTAAGCCTTTTCCAGCATGAGAGTAACGATGATGGAATGTTTGGTCCACACTTAGGGGGCCTGGATAGTTTGAAGACATGAATATGGCACCTGCAAATGCGATTTTAAAAAAAAAAAAAAAAAAAAAAAAAGGGGAAAGTGTAAACATGGATAAAACATCAGACAAAACACGTAAATTTTAGCCTTTAAAAATGGAAGAAAACAGAAACAAAAAAAAAGTTTATCTTGAAGGACAGAAGGAGAAAACCTGCTGATAGCATCCACCACAGAAAAAGCAGTATAGAGAGAATTACAGGAGGATTACAAGAAAATGAAAGACCACAAAAAGAGGTGTTGTTGCTTTACCAACTGCTGGCTGTTACTTCACTCAGGAGTTCCTGTTTGCAAATGCAAACACAAGAACAGGACTGGGAGGAACCTGGGGACTTCCCCAGACCCTCAGGTAGTCCCCAGAAGCTGCACCCGGCTGTTTAATACACTTTAATTTGATTAATCGCTTAATTGTTCAGTTATGTCAATAGCTGATGTTTTCTTTTGTAGAGCTGAAGACCTTGTTCGGGTAGCAGGCTCTGCATATGGCATAGATGAACATTTATCCCCTTCCAGCTTGTTCTTTCATAACAGCCACAGCTTTGAGATACTGATCTTCATAGAACTTTTGTCGATACCTAAATTTAGATCTGCTCCTTTTAACAACGGTGAAAACTTCTCGAGTCTGTCCCCTAGGAAAAAGTAGGATCTAGAAAAGTCCTTGAGTCCCGCTGTCATCTGGCCCCGCCCCTCTCAGCAAGTACAGTCTACATGCCTGCATTCTGCTCGCCTGCTCCGCCGTGACCTGACGAGATCAGACATCTCCCAGCGCCCCGCCCTCGCACGACTTCCCAACATACTAGAGTGGCTCATTTCTGGGGGCCTTTAAGCAGCTCCATCTTAACTTCTGTTTTGACTAGGATTGGGTGTGTGTGTGTGTGTGTGGGGGGGGGGCTGCAGTGCTGAGGCCATTTTTAATCAGCTGCTTCGCTGCGAACGCTAGCCCAAGCAGATGGGAGTCATTACTGAATGGCAGACGTGCTCAATTTACCGCACTGCACTGCCAGCTCTGTGTCCTTCGAAAAGTCATCTTCAGATTATTTTAAGTAGACCGCTGTCTGAATCACACTGATCCTGGGTTACGCTGACATGCGCATCGTCATTTGTAATCAACAGTAACTGTAAAATACACAAGTCTATTTAAAGTGCCCATTTGGTAGCTTATTGCATCAGATGTTCAGCTTGTCTGGGTTATATCATTACTAAAGGCTCCCTTCGGCTTCTAGACTGAATTCTAAGCACTGTCTGCATCTATAAATAAAATTCCCTCTGGGCTTCAAAGCTCTTTTAGTTTTTCTTCTTCAGAACTATGTGTCTGAATTGTTGTTTGTCTGATAACTTGACTTGCTTGGAAGTTGTTCGCCACATTTCCCTCTCCCTGGTTCCCTGCCGGTGCTCTTCTTGCATGCTTAATCATTGGTCCGTGGGTATGCTATGTCACGGCATGGCACAGGCTTTGTATTTACTTAGTGTCAAAACAATGAGTGTAATCCTGCTTGAATGAAATCTTGCCCCCACCCATTTCATGCCAATGAGATAATTAGTCCCATGTCTCATTTGCATGTGAGCAGGAAAGCCCCCCCCCCCCCCCCCCCCCCCCTCCTTTCTCCTTTCTCAAAGGCCTCCCCACCCTTCCCCCCCCCTTTGAGACTGGCACTGGGCCCTGGGCAGTTTGGGCACCACCGCTGCCTCATTATTTGTCTATGTCTTAATCAGGATGCTACAGCCTGCCGACACCCTGCACTGGTCACGTATCAGGCTGCTCCTTGACCTCCTACAAGGTCCAACAATAAAGAGACAAAGAAAGACTCGAGTTTTCTTTCTTTTTTCCACTTATACATGACTTAACTCATGTAATTATGTAATTGTATTACTTTAGGACTCTTTAGGTATTTTTTTTCTATCATTTAATTGGAAAAATGTTTTTCCACGTATTAGCTTTTTTTTAAATTAAAGAGTCACAGAAGCTTGTCATTTTCCCAGAACTGCAGGAAATTCAATGTTTGTTTTTTTTCAAGTTCTCTAAAAATGTGAGGCTATTCAGTTTACAGTGATATAACACATATAACGGAATCAGCAGAGCAGAAACCTCTCACAATATAGAATGGTTTGCTTTATAAACCATTCTATACTTGGGTACTCCGACTTTCTCTCACAGTCCAAATGCATGTAATTAGTGGTGTCAGGTTAACTGGTAAATTGCCCATAGGTGTGAATGGTTGTCTGTCTCTCTATGTTGACCCTGTCTGCAGATATTTGCAAATCTTCACCAATTGTTATCAACCTGTGTGACTGTATGTGGTTCCCCAGAGGTTGACAGATGTGAAAAATCTCTGGGCAACCACAGTTATTATTATTTTTTAAAATGTTAAGCACATTGAGTTTACATGCAATTAAATGTATCTTGCCAATAAAATTACTGTGGCATCCTCTTTTTACTTTAGTGTAACTGAGCTATTAACCATTACTATACAGTGAATATAACTATTAGCTGCAGCTGCATGTTTTCCTCCATTGTTCTTGCCCTGCTCTCCTTTTCAAACCTGAATATTGATCACTCTGCCATGCTACATGCAGCACTTCTTCTTTCCCCTGACCTTTGCATTTTTGCATATAGTGCTGCCTGAGCTGTTAACCTGGCGCTTGAATGGCAAAAACCTGAATGTAAAACTACTCAGTGGCTCTGACTGATGACCTGGAAGACTACACACATCAGCTAAACTGTCTCTGTTCAAGGCTTTTGTCAGGCTCTTCATTAAACGAGTAAAAGCCCAATCGAGGTCCTCTGACAGCGATGCAGGTTCACCACAGATGTCTGTCTTTTTTTTAACAGAGGCAGCGTTGCACAGCCTCCTGGGTGCTCTGACCAGCGAGACTTACAGCGACCCGACTCAACACCTGGAGCGGGAGCAGGCGCTGGCCAAGCAGTTCGCAGAGATCCTCCACTTCACGCTGCGCTTCGACGAGCTTAAAGTATGGCTCTTTATTTCTTTAAGTGTCAAATTTTAGCTGCTTCTGTAGGCTTTGCTCTCAATCGTCCAACAAGCTACTGATGCCCCTGGATTGATTTTTTTTTTTTCTTTTTTCTCAGCTCTGTGCAGTTTTAAGCTGCCGCCAGTGAGCGCATGATTAGCATTTAATTAGAGCCCTGATACTGCTCTGCTGTTTATGATACTGTGGATGTCAGTGAAATGGCCAATAAGGGTTATTGCAAGGGGAAAAAGGTCTGCAAATTGTTGTTGCCCGAGCCAAGTTTTTCACAGCGTGGCAGGTTTTATATAAACGACAGGCAGAGGGAACTTTAAAAGTCTGATCTGGTTTGAATTCGGACACAAACTGCTGAAACGAAGCCGCGATTGAAGCATGTTTGTCGCTCAAATGCCCATTGTCAGAAACATAATTGTGTGAGCACTCATCTTGTAAGACACTGGGCCCACATCCCTGCTCCTTTGACACAAAAACGTAAAAAAAAAAAAAAAAAGGCTCCCCGACTCCCTGAGGCGGTTTGCAGCGACGTCCCAATTAGTGCCCACTACCCAGGCTGGCAGGATGAAAAACATGAAGGTAGGGGGTGCAAGGTGGCATGCCAGGCCCATTCATCAATCTTTCACACCCATGCACGGGCTTCTGACCTAGTTAAAGTGTCTGAGTGCTGTGCAGCCCCTCCCTGGCGAAGAAGCCTGTCTCTCCTGGTGGACGCGGTGGACGCAGACTGAGTACCAGTCTATTGTAGCAGGATTAGCATGCTGTCAGCGCAGCTTTGACTGTGACAAGCTCGTGCAGGAATGAGGATAATTAGCCACATGACGAGCACTCGCTTGTGGTGACTTTTGAAAAGAAGCTCTCTGGTTGGCCAGCTTCCCTTTAAAAAAAAAAAAGTGGTCAGTTTGGCTCCACACTGAAAACCAGATGATTCATATATTGTAGGGAGTCATGTCAAAGGAGCTAATGGAGCCTTGTGGCTTTTATCTGAGGCTTTGAGGGTGCATAACGTCAGAGAATAAGCCTGCGTATATCCTGTGCTCACTCTAACCTCGCCTCTCCTTAATGAGACCCACAGCCAAAGCTCACGGCAGCAGGAAAAAAACCAAATATTTGCTGACAGGGCGAGCAGGGATGTGGACGTAAAAGGGGGCAGAATGAGTGTCAGACATTCAAATCCAGTTCAGCACATAAAATAGTAATTGTATCAGTGCTCTTTTTATGTCATTTCCCCCCCAAAGCTACATTTCTGCCTTGTTGGCTAAAGCTTTCTGTCATGACGATGGTGTGTTTGATCCAGAGCTGAATGTCTGGCTGCAGGCTGTCTCTCTCCCCTCTCTCTGTATTAGATTGCCTCCAAGCTTACATATATCTGTATATATAATATTTATATTTCTGTTTTGCAGATGACAAATCCAGCCATTCAGAATGACTTCAGTTACTATAGGAGAACACTGAGTCGAATGCGGATCAACAATGTACCGGTGAGCATGTTGCGCCCATCTCTGACATACAACTTCTCCTTTATCTTTTTTAGCATCTGTTAGCTCTTTGTTTTGGTTTAACAGCCCATTTATCTGCTATTAGAGCGTAGCAGATGGTGTTATTTTTGAGTAAAATTTTATTTAATTTTTGTCATAATTTAGTCTGTAATAATCTTATAATTCTTTTAGTTTTAGTCGACTAAAAATCGAAAGATTATAGCAGACTAAACTTGATTCAGTTGACTTAAATATAAAGTGTGAAAGTTTCTCATGGTTTTACTGGTGAGTGCCTTATTTTCTTTGTGAAATGCATCCATATGTCTCCTCTTCTCTTCCTCTTAGGCGTTGACATTTTGTCGCACTTTTATGAGAAACGGGGAGCATGGCAGATTGTACCCTTTCCCGTGGGCACATAAAATTGTTCATATTTAACCTTACTGTGCAAGGACATTACTTCCGATTGGATCACTTTTAAACTTGTCCCACCTCTCTGCACCACTCGGTTGGTTCTGATTGTGTCTCGCTTCTCCAGAATATTTAGGTTTTTTTTAATATTTTTATTCACTGACTAAAGTGTCAGTGCATTTCATCGTCTTCTTTTCCATGAGAAAAAAAGAACGATGAAAACTATGACTAAAATGACTGGTGTGTGATGTTGCAAGAACTTTTTATTTAAATCAAAATATGACCCACAAATTATATTTTCTTTTATTTTACACGGACCACACTGACTTTACTGACTAAACGGTTTTCACTTCAGCTTTTAACTGCTGCAGAAACTCAACACACGTGGTGCTGTGGACATGGTCAGCATCAACTGACCATCAGCGTTGGCCTTACTTGAGAATCGGTGTCGGTTTGAATGTGTGTTATATTTAGAACATTATCACTGCTTTTGCTGCCGACAGATGGCTCTCTCTGATGAAGAAGGGAAGCTGTTTCACTCCACCAGACTCCATTGGCAAAACGAGTATTTTTTTCTTTGCAAAACATGGGAATGGTTCATCTATTGCTGGCTTGACCAGATGGTTTGTCTGTGCTGTTGTGCATTTATGGTTATTAAAGCAGTTAGTTTGGGTGTGAATTGAAAAAAGTCATGCTAATTAAACTAACAACTCCCATGTTCTGTCAGGTAAAACTCACTGTTTGTGTCAGTGGTGGTTTCGAAAGGAGTGGTTTGGGTCTTAATGTTCCTGATTTTGGTGTTAACACTTTTATTATGATTCAGAATTATATTTTGAAATACCAAAAGCACCCAAACAGACTAACCGGCTGATGCAGTGGTTAACCAACTGTAAGATTTCTGTTTTTGTCAGCACAAACTGGTGGCTTTGATGACTTCCGTTCCTCATCAGAGGGAGACATCTGTGGCAGCTTATAGCTTATTTGCTATTCTTGCATTGAATCAATGTATGACATAAGTCGCCTTTATGGTTTGCATGTGTAGCTCTGCAGTTTTGCTGCTGAAATACTGGTTGTTGTTATTGTGGTTTCCCTCTTCAAGTTAAGCCATTATCTTCCAGTATCTTTCATAAATGGTGGCAGAGTAAAAAGTTGAAGGAAACAACAGTATTGAATGGACCAGTCACAGTGATACCTTCAGCACAGTTATTTTTCTAGGGAAGTGCACGGCAGCTTCTGGCATAAGTTGTGGTGGAGGGTTTGTTGTTAACGCAGAAGCATAAATCCCGGATAAGCCCCCAAATTACTTTAAATACAGATTAAAGTTAAACTGACAGTAATTTATTTATTTTTAAACTGGCATAATACAAACGGCGTACCAAAAAAAGCTGATGTTGTTTAAAATGTAAATTTAAAAAACAGAATGCAATGATTTACAGATTTTTATGAACCAGATTTTATTTACAATAGAACACAGGAAATATCGAAGCATTGGAAACGACTGTGGCATGAATTTTAGCTCAGCATTTATTGGTTAAATACTTTCTTCTTGGAAAGTGGAGTAGTATTTATACCTGGTATTAAACACGTGTATAATCATTTCTCCTGTAATTTACCTTTTCTTCACTTTGATAATGAAGGCCAATGCCAGTGTCAGTGCTGCGCATTGTGCTTGCTACCTCGCTGTAATGACTGACTGTCCATTAAAGCAGCAGAGCCGCTTTAATGGACTTTGTTTCGCTTGTGCGTTTCCCGGTAAAATGGTCAAAATGTCATGTTTTCTTTCTACCTGTTCATCACTGTGATGAGTGAGGTCCAGGTGCAAATTCAGTTTATGAAGAAATGAGATCTCTTCATGTAGGTCTATGTGTGCCTCTTACTTACATGCAAGGACTTCCCATGCTGTCCATGTGTAAGGAGACCAGAGAAAGTCAATGTCATTCAGCACTTTGAAGTGAATTAAGATAACCTTGACCGACACATAAAGGGGTGGTAAATGCATTACAGAGTTACCCAGGCAACTGGAGCCTGAAATCTCCAATAGAGTGACCATCAGCTACAAAGAGATGTCCTATGTGGATGCACCTTTAGGCTTTAGTTTACTCTGTGCACTTTTGCACATATGCACCTTGCTGTGTGGACACCCAACTTTGTGAACATAACTCGAGAATGAGGTGATGTACGGTTTTCAAATTGATACCATAGATGTGTTTTTTGTCTTGTCGTCCTCCCTTCAGCCCCAACCGGTCATGGCAGATGGCTGCGCCTCCCTGAGCCTGGGTCTGCCAGAGGTTGAGGGAAACGTGGGGTAGTAAAATTGGTCATTTTTAGCTGCATATGAGGAAAAATAAACCAAAACTGCACTCAGTTCAGACCCGCCTGACAGGAGCTTTTATTTCTTAAAGCAGAACATGTCATTAGACAAATGGGCCCAGACAAGTTGTCGTTAGGACCTGTCAACGCTGAAAGACGCTCGGGCCGCCGTCCCTCCTCGCAGCTCCGTCGCACTCGGTTTAGTCAGCGCTCAGACGACTGAATCATTCAGACATCCGAGATGAAACGCAACTGTCCCGGCTCAAACATTCTTTGAGCTCATGTGTCATCATCGTTTGTTAAAAAACCCAAAGTGGTTTGAAAGTTTGGGGCGATTATTCATATTCCGTCAGTGCTCTCATGAAGGCAGGAAGTGTTGTTATTTAAATACGCAGACAAATTTAGAACAGGCTGTTCAAGAGACGCCTTATTCTTTTGTTGTCCGCCAGGTGTTTTCAGCGTCTCATCTGAAACGGCAAAGCGGCAGTCAGCTGGGAAACCGGGGGAGGGAGGAGCAGGAGGGCTGTGTCACAGGGTTTATATCAGTGTTTTCCTGTCGGTGTTTTATTTAACGAAGCAGCTTTTCATCTGCACAAACAGTCTGTTAAAGCTGCTTCGCATCAAATAAACTAATAATACATCCTGATGTTCTCTCGCACCTTTTCATTCAGTTTTTTAAATAAAATTTCACAGCATCGCCACAGTGTAGAGCGCAAAGTGGCTTTAATGTCCCTCCAAGCGTGTCAGCTACACGGCCACCTTCGTGGTCGCTTTCTTTTCTCAGTCTCCTTGTAAAGTAGCTTTAACTGGCAGCTCTTCTAATAACAGAGATAACCACGTTTGAGTTTGATTATTTTAAGATCAGAGGTCCAGAACACTAAACATGCAGTCAGTGGATTCAAGCTTTGTTTTTTTTGTTTGCAGGCAGAAGGTGAGAATGAAGTCAACAATGAATTGGCCAATCGGATATCTCTCTTCTACGCCGATGCCACGCCCATGCTGAAGACGTTAAGTGACGGCACAACGAAGTTTGTTTCTGAGGTGAGACTCAGAAACAAAAATATTGGATACTTTATTTTCTTTTAGTGTGTGTGTGTGTGTGTGTGTGTGTGTGTGTGTGTGTGTGTGTGTGTGTGTGTGTGTGTGTGTGTGTATCCACTCAAGTCATTCCTCCCTCCTTACAGAACAAGAACCTGCCCATCGAGAACACGACGGACTGCTTAAGCACGATGGCGAGCGTGTGCAAAGTCATGCTGGAAACACCGTAAGTGACCTCCTCCGCGTGTTAAATACGCCATTCACGGCTTTGCGTCTTATCCCTCCTCTTCCTCCTCCTGCTGTCAGGGAGTATCGCAGCCGTTTCACAAGCGAGGACACGGTGTCCTTCTGCCTCAGGGTGATGGTCGGGGTGATCATCTTGTACGACTACGTCCATCCCGTAGGAGCGTTCGCCAAGTCGTCCAAAATCGACGTGAGTGTAGACACGTTCACGCCAAACTTCTCACTCGCAGCTTCTTCTACAGCTAACGGTCTCTTTCTGTGCCACAGATGAAAGGCTGCATCAAAGTCCTCAAAGATCAGCCGCCAAACAGCGTAGAAGGCCTTCTCAACGCTCTCAGGTCAGTTCTTGTTCCGATTATTAAAAAAAATAAAAATCCCTGCTGCCCAGCGTGAAATGTGATTGCAGCCCGTGAGCAGGCTTTTAAACTGAACAGGAGCAGGCTGCTCACGCTGTGAGTTGGATGAGTTGGTTCCTGTTCACAAGCAGCAGACAGACCTCATCCCCTTCAGCGCAGTGACTCATCCTCCACGCCGTCCAGCGGGGGATTCGGTCAGCTGTGAGCCTGATCCGGGTTGGGTGTCAAAGCCTCTCCACAAAGGCCGATTACATGTGACACCAGGTCCCCTCGCGCCCTCACAAATTTCACCCACCTCACCTCGCTCTCGCAGCTGCTGACAGCTTTGAGTCGACCTTACATCTGTGTGTTTGTGTGTATGGGGAGCCCGAGGCGGGCCGGCTCTACCGGGCCACACGAGGTTATTTTCATGCGAAAGCTGGCAGATTTTCTCTCAGTGATTGCCACACTGATGTGACGGAGGATGATAGTGTATGTTAGACACATGCAGTGCTGGACAGTAATGAAGTCAAAGTTCAAGCTCACTTTACTGCACTATTTATCTGACATTTACTGGAAGATTTTCTAATTTACCGTTTTGTTTGTATCAAAACAAACAACACAGCCAAGGTAAAAGGAAAGTACAAACTCTTTCATTTCTAAGATGGGCTTAGACGAACAACATCATGGCACATTACACTGTGTCGTTATTTGCAGTCAGTACATCCTTACTGCTTCCTCAGGAATTAAGAGGGCAAGTAGCAGCCAGCTGCTGCTAATCAAATGCAATAGACTAACGATCATCAGCAAGTGTGAGCAGCTCTATAAGAACAGAGGTTTTGACAGTTTGCTGGTCTGAAGCATTCAGATAAGTGCAATGTCAGTCTTAACAGGAGTGGACATCCCAGCTAATTCACTCCAGGATCAGATCAAGCAGCGCTCAGAGAAACTGCAAAAAAAACCAGAACTCAGATCTCAGGCTGTATTGACCTCGTTTTAAAACCTGCTAATGACCAGATAACTTTTATGCCCCGATAGTGCAAACCTTAGAATTGACAGAGGGTGTACTTTCATTTTTTGCTATCAATGTATAATAAATAAATACAGTAATACAAACACTGGGGCTCTTTGCCATGTTTCAGCTTCATTAGCAGCCGCATCAAAGCAGGACTGCAGCTTCCTGTTATTTTCATCAATATTTAAACTGCAGATCGGGCCGGTGTGTCAGGTTGTTGCAGGAGTTCTCAAAATCTTGCGGGCAGATTTACATGAAAATTTTACCACCAGCATGGCCCAACTTGGAATTGATCCAGATCTGGATGATTCTTCTTTTTTATTTAATTGTAGCGTTTTTAAAAATATGGCTCAGAGCAGGTTTCAGTATATGGGGCGCCTGCTCTCCCACGTGAGCTGCAGACACAACACTTTTGGAGTCTTTAAAGGAAGCTGCTGCTGCTGCTGCTGCTGCTGATCATGATGAGAAAAATTAGTAGGAACTGGAGTTAAAGAAAATATCACAAACTGAGGCAAGAATTCAATGAATGCATCATGTGGTGGCTTTGGCGTTGGTACGCAGCCTCGGAGCGCTTCTTTTGATCGATAAGACGTGGAAATGCTTCCTTTTGTTAACAGTGTCGACTCATTCTCACTCAAATTAAGCTTCACGTGAAAACACACAGCCTTCAGATTTAAAGAGTGTGAATCTTTTAAAGGTACAAATACTGCAGAAACAATAACTCCTTACTTTGTAATAAGAGTTCCTGGCAGAGCAATAGTTCTTGTTTCTGTGTAGTCTATAAAGTCTATATTAAAAAACTGCTTCAAACTTCATTTTTAGCAGAACAAACCTTGAACATGTTACAACTCGAGAAGCAGAAACCAGAGCATTCACAAGTGTGATTTCCCATCGGACGTTTTGTTTTTAGTAACAGTTTAAATCTTTACATATAATCCAAAGAGGCTTAAGTCGGATCAAAAGGTTAAAGGAGAAGAAAGCTGCCTTCTACTGTTTGGAGGAGATTGACACCAGATCAGGAACCAGTGTGGACGAAAGGAAATGCTTCAGTATTAACATTTACCCCGTTGAAGAGGAAGTTTTCAGCTAAACGAGGACTTTCACTTTGAGAGCTCGAGCATATTTTGTTCATAATACTTCAGTATTTTCACTCTTTGTTCTTCTACTGAAGTGCACATTTGCTTTTTCTCTCTCTCTCGCCTGCAGGTACACAACCAAGCATTTAAACGATGAATCAACCAACAAGACTATCAAGAGCATGCTGCAGTAGGACTGAGCTGCTAGGACTGCTGAAGGGAGACGCCGCTCTCTCGAATGTCGCTGCACAGAATGTTGTCTTTTTTTTTTTTTTTTTTTCCTTTGTTTGCTTTTTTAAATGGAAAAGAGCTACTGCTCCGCCCTCTTTTATACTGCAAAATGCTACTGCCATTGTAAACGTCTTTTTTGGTGCCAAAAAGATGTCGCTGATATGTAATGTTTTCGATAAAAGCCCATGCCGCTATGGCAGCTAATGAAAGCATTGTGGATGCTCCGGTTTTTATTTTAAACATGTCTTCTTTTTTTTCCCTGTGTAAGGGGACGGGAGTTCTGACTTGAAAATTTAATACAGAGAGATATATAGAGACGTATATATTATTTTTGGTTGATTTGTTATTTAATTCCATCTTCTGCATGATTACGAAACAAAATAGTCTTTTCCTTGTATTTAAAGTAAAACAAAACAAAAGCAATGGTTCCTCTTAATTTGTCTGCTCTTTTGTGCTTTCATAATTAAATGTTTTGTTATTGAAATGGTACTTGTTGAATTGAGATTAAGAGTACTGTTTTTATATTTTTTATAGGTTTTAATTTGTGCATATGTCTTTTTTTTGTTTTTTTTTTAGTTGTGTTGTATTTTTTAGTTGAAAACTTTAAACTGTGATACGTTCAAAATCAAATTAAAACTGGGAGTGTGTACTGTACATGCACAGTATGTTGTGGCTGGAGAAATTAAAAGGAGAACTCTTGTTTTCTACGACCCCGACTCGTCAGGTTTGATCTCTTCTCGCCGTCTCCGGGCGGCCGGAGGGGAAGATTGAGAACTCAGTGACACACAGTTTTTTAAACTTAAAACCAAAATAAGCAACTTTAACACTTCAAAGCAGTCCTCTTAATCTAATTGCCAAATTATGTCTGTTCACCTTCATGTGAAGGTCAATAACGCTCTCAGGGTTGATGTTAAGTAATGGTAGTTACAAATAACTGAAACCAGCCGAGCGCAGCAGAATATTAATAAAATGGATTAAGTGAAATCCACCTTCACTACCTGCAGGACTGACTTAACATTAATGCATTGATAATTACAGCGCAGAAAACCCTTTTTTCCTGTATTTTGAATGTAATTTAAGCATGATTTGATTTATTTACTGATGGTGGGTCTTGACAAAGCCCCTCAGTTCAGTCTGACTGAAACAGGACATTTTTGCACCCCTATGCCTGCTTTTAGGAAGGAGGGTGGAGCTTCTGTGCTCGCAGCCCTAGATGACCATATTAGGTATATCCACTCTTGCTGACATCACTCAGAGTCAACAGCAGTGTTGGTCAAGTTACTTGAAAAAAGTAATCGGTAACTAATTACTGATTACTTCCCCAAAAAAGTAATCCCGTTACTTTACTGATTACTTATTTTCAAAAGTAATTAATTACTTAGTTACTTTTTAGAAACACGATTTACAACCTGAAGAGGTGATAAAGCGATAGATCTTTCAGCCCAATTCTACTTTTTCTGCATAATCCATCATACAAAATGTAATCAAATGGAAAAGTCTCTTTTTTAACTTGTTTTATTAGTTTTAATCTTTTAACTTTATGCATCAAGCAAAAATTAAATTATATGCAACATTCTCTGACTTGAATAAATTAGTTTAACATTTAAACCTATTTTCTGCACATTCCAGAACATAAAATAAAATATTTTTTGTGTTTACACTCAGTCTTTCAAATAGATGCAAGTAAAACGCAGCAGAAAATAAATAAAGTCAAAGACTCAGCGGTCCTGTTGCTCTATTTTCACCTGTAAAGCAGGAGTGGAGTAGGCGGAGGTTTACCCTGGTGCAGGTGTGCCGCGGTCAGTGGAAGAATCCGCGAGTTTCTCTGTGAGTTTCCCATTATGTTGTTGCGCACTCGGTGCTTGCTCGGAAGTTTAGGGGGTTTTTTCGCTGTAAAAAGTTTTCTTCCCACGCATGATGGACGCTAATGTTTTTGTCACTTTTTATGGAATCAAACTCAAAGTAAAGTCAGTGCTTCCACGCTTTAAACGCTGCACGCTCATACTCTCTCCCACAATCGATATGTGATCCATTGTTGATCTGCACACAGCTGGTGTCACTAACGGCGCACTCGCCTACGTCACTGTCATGAGACATTCTAGCAAAAAATCACGGTTTTAGTAACGCAGTAACGCAGCGTTCCTACGGGAAAGTAACGGTAATCTAATTACCGTTTTTGCAATAGTAATCCCTTACTTTACTCGTTACTTGAAAAAAGTAATCAGATTACAGTAACGCGTTACTTGTAACGCGTTACTGTAATCTGGTCAACAGTAGAAAAAAAGAGTCTGGTGCCTAAGCACCATTTAATATGAGCATCCTTCATTGTGATACTTTATATTTGTGACACTGTGAGTTCCCATGGAAATCTGCTTTTAACAGTCCCTAAAGTGATGGCTCAAAACAAACTGCAAAAGCACCTGATGATCAACGCTGATGTTGTTGGAGGCTAAGTAGATGAATCACAACCCGGGCTTCCACAGCCAGTCAACACTAAGGATGAATGACGACAGAGCAGGTTAATAAGGATGACAGAAAAAATGAGTGAACTGTGGATGTAACAGCTGATTAAAGGAACCTGTTGGCAGTTTAATCTGTCAGCAGGTGCAACAGAGCAACCATTTTTGGGCCACCCGATGAACGTGAGTCTCTTATAGTTATGTTGTTGGTCTCCACCACCTGTTGAGGGATGTATTTTTCTCTTTAGCTGCTAAATGTTGCACTGTGTTCACTAGTCAGTCTCTGATTTACAGTACAGGCACAAACTGAGAAGGGCCCCCTCTTTAAGGTTCATTTAATGTGTTAGGCTAACCTGCACATATAGAGGGAGGTGTGGCACTCTCCTCCAACAGCACCAAACCTACACCTGTTTTCTTTTAGGTGCCTGTTTGTTTGTTTCAGCTGATTCAGTTTGGCCTAGAATCTTGTGTTGGGTTTTGCAGGTACCGGTAATTGTTTTTGCATTATTAAACTGCAGCAGGTTGGAGCATCCCATTTCAAATGGGCTCTGTGAGCTATACATTTGGGGGTTTAATAATAGTACCCCAATGTAACCACATGTCCACAGTTCAGTTCCTTGACATTCATTCAGTTTCCTCTTTCTGCCCGTGATTATTGTCTGTCCTCTTCAGACCGCCAGAAGTCTGATAGAGGTACAAAAGCATTAAGAGCTAGTACGAGGTTGAGCAGGCAGTACTTTCTATCCACTTCCTGTGTGTGTCCTTTGCCCTGCTTTCTTTTCCTGATTTGTCTACATTTACACTTTACAGTTGTGGTCTCATCACTCATCATGGGCATTAATGTTTGTGGTGATTTTTGTCTTTTAATGTTTTCTTTCAACTGTTCCTTTTCCAGGGTGGAATGATCTTTAATGACTTTAAAAACAAGGACTGGGTGCACAAGTTTTAATCTATTTTAGATATTATAATCCACACAGTGTCCAAAGTGTACACACAGGCTCAAATATATACATACAATCAAGTAAAACTTTTAGTAAGCTGTGCTGAAGGTTCTACAAGGTCTTTTAATTTGAGAAGGCCAAGGCCCATTAACCTCTGGTTAGTGCTCATGACTTACTACAGCTGGTAGTTTCTCTTTGGCAGCATAAAGAGGATTTGTTTGACAGCTCTCATTGAACTGACCAATACTCATTACTTCAAACAACTGAACATAAGTACAAATTATTCAGCTTTCAAATCCAAGACTGTACCAACTATCAGGCATGGTGGTGGTAGCATCATGCTCCGGGGCTGTTTTGGTGCGAATGGTAATGCTACATTACACATAGTGGATGGAATAATATAAAAAGGAGGACTACCTCCAAATTCATTAACTTGAAACTTGGACACAGTTGGATGTTCCTGCAGGACAATGATCCCAGACATATAAAAAGTGGTTTGGGATGGATAAAGCAGGCATTATTATGACATTAAGCTCCTGGAAAAACCTTCACAAAGCCCCAAACTCAACACTTTGGAAAATTTGTGGACTATTTGTAAAAATTTGACCAATTCTGTCCAGAAGAGCAGTCACAAATCCAGCCAGAATTATGCCACCAGCCTGTTGATCGCTACCAAAAAGGTACAACTTCCTAAAGGACATTTAACGAAATATCAGTGAAGACGTATGTATATATATTTGAGCCTGTGAAATGAAAACCTACAGACCCAATTCTTGTTTTTAAAGTTATTAAACATGTATGCTGTACAACCGATAAATAAATCATTAAAATCCCCAAATTACCATGACATTCGTGCCCAATATGAGTGCACGTAAACTTCACATCTGCACAGAGGGTTAATTACCGAGGAGCACTAGAGATACAAACAGGCCTGCTGTTGTGCACAGTTTCCACCTTCATGCCGAGCTAAACTAAACGGCTGTAGTCTGTAGAGTCATATTTAGTGTACACATAAACAAGCAGTAGAATAATCCTCTCCTCTCTCCTATGCAATATGAAAATAATAGTAACAAGACAAAAAGTACTGTTTTGTTTGTCTGCTAATGAAAAGCATCCATTTCCCCCAGTGACACCTTTGTTAAATGAGCTTTTCATTTGTCCTCTTTTCGCCTTTTACGACCACTCAAAGTCTGCTATACTTAATGGCTCACTAAGAAACATAATTACACGATGTCAGTGACAAGTGGTCATCTCTCTTTATCTAAAACCAAAAAAAAGCTTTTCAGGATCCATTATTCCTTTCCTCCACATTAAAGGTTTTCTCCTGTTCCATCCATGCTCCGGTAAAAAAGAAAGATCCTTTCTAATCATTCTCACTCTCCTAACCTTTTTATTTTTCCTCCTCTTTTCAGTCGTGACACACAGAGAGAGGGAGCAAAAAGAAGGGGGCCACTCTCGTGTGGCCACTGCAGCAAAACTTCTCAGGGTCAAAGGCAGACAGACAGCAGAGCGTGCATGGGTGTGTCCTCTGCAGCATCGCTGCACTAACAGACTGGGGGGAAAAAAGGGAAGGAAACGAGAGGGAGTGAAGGAGGAGATGGGAGGCAAGCGGAGCGGTTTAATCTTGGGTGGGTTTAAAATCCTTGAGGGAGAGTTATAGAAAAGCACGGTGGGGGTGGGGGTGTATAGCTTCTGTTGCATTTTTTAAAATGCAGCTCAAACGTGGTTGCAGGGCATGCGACGCGCACAGAATAGCTGCCTTTTTGTCACCGTGACTCCTTCTCATTGGGGAGCGTTGACCTTGTTTCCCACCCACCGTGACCCTCCATGCAGAAGCTTTCACTGCATCATCGGGGCTGCAGGCGGAGACGGCGGCCCTGCTGTCCAGACGAATGAAGCCTTTCTGAGCTGTATTCAATCTAATATCAAAGTCAACCTTTCCTCTCACCTGAGAATGATCATAACGGAGCAGCGTGGAGGCGTGGAAGCCAAAAAAAGAAGAAAAAGACTGAATTAATGAAGTTTTTAAAGTGTATTAAACCTCCAAATGTTATTACAGATTGATGCTTGAAGCTACAGGATCAGATCATGTGTGAATATCGGCAAATGCTGATTACACCCACAGCATCCCTGCTCTGTCACTAGAGCCACAGACTTAATAAAAGAAGGAAAAAAGGGAAGGACCATGTCTATGGTATCAGATAAGAGCAGCAAGCTTGGGAAAATGACCTTCACGCAGATTAAATCCTGCAAACACAGATATCAGCTAATTAGTGCAACACACAGAATCTCACCCGCTATAACTGGAGT